AGAATATTTTCCGTTACTTTACTTAAAAACTATACAAATGTTTATTTCTTATAAAGATGTATCTTACACTCTCGTATCTTGTAGAAAAGGTTCCCGTTATTGGTTTTGTTGACTAAATTAATGCTGGACGCAGGATTTGTGAAAGCAGTAACGACAAAACTCTTTGACTTAGTGGGTACATTCATAACATTAAAAATTGTATTTTTAAACTTTTAATATTATCAATGAGTACCTACTCACATCGAATTGATCTTTGCAAAAAGAAATGACTTTCAGTCGATAAAGTTACAGGATTTAGCAAGTTTTAAACATATGTTCATGTGTAAGTATGTTTATTTTTCTTGGCAATTTAAACCACAATTTTTCTAGTCTTTTACCAAGTGTATCATAATAACTACTATATTTTTCATGTGATCTATTAGAGGTCATGGTTTTATAATATTAACTTAGAAAGTTTATTTCGTACCTGCTTGCGAGTGTTTGTTTTCAAATGTTTTGATGTCATAGCATAGATAAGTCTATAAACTAAATAGCGTTTTTGTATAATACATTTATTTTTCGATCTGATAGAACGATTATTAACAATTTAAAACATAATTCCAAAAAGTGTCAACTAGCCCATTTAACAACAGTTTATCCTTGTCATTCTCTATACAGAATGAAAAGGAGAGACTGATGTTAAATTTAGTTTTAAATTAAGAGAACCATCCAGAATCGACAGCTACCAGTGTCTGTGTCTGATGGTAAATGTCTACCACAGCATGGTAAATGCTTCCAATGCAGCGACTTCTCCAAGAACTCTTTGTTCTATCTCCCGTTCTTAAACAAATTGTATAATAAAATACTCATTTTATTCGGTTTCACCTAACTTCTTCATTTCACTCAGAAAAAAGTACGTGGATCTACGTACTTTTCATATCCAAAATTTACTAATTCTACGTAGTTTTCTCATCGGGCCTACGCCTTTTTCAAAATCCGAGTTGGCAACACTGGTTGCCAGACACATGAATAATGTTAGTTCTTCAAACATTGTCATGTCACGACTTTATAGACAAACTGTACACGTAAGGGCTTGCCTATCGGTTATGCATGTTCGGCTAAAACCATCATGCAAAACCATAGTGTATGGCCTCCATTATAAAAATCTAGCAAAATCTACTGAACAGATATTGGTGTCGATTCTGGCGTGATTCTCTAAACTTAAAACTAAATTTAACATCAATCTCTCCTTTTCATTCCGTATAGAGAATGACAAGGATACACTGTTGTCAAATTTAAGTTTAGGTTTAGAGAATCGTGTCAGAATTGACACCATTGTTATCTACCAAAAAATCTACCTACTCTGTTATATCCATGGAACTAGGTTGTTGGTGAATCTACTAGGGTTTTGCGGTTGGTTTTTCCATAATCGCCCTTGTCTCCTCGGATAAATTGTCATGTTTGCCACAACACAAACATTTATAATATACAATATTGTTTAAAATAAGTGTAAAATTATGTATTTATCGATAATGTTTTGTTCATTACACATTACTTTGCGTTAAACTGTGAAATTGTGAGATGAGAACAACGACAAACGTGAAAACAACAAACCGCAAAAACTTTAGTAAATTTCCCCTGTAACTGCTGTTATTTTATAAATAAGTTTTATTTAAAAAAAAAGCCTCAAAAACAGTGATTCTGAATAAATTATCAATGTTATTTCTTTATTATTTTTAATTGCTTTACAATTAGTACAATTACGCATTACCATCATCATAATTAACGTATTTGTACATCGTTTTCGTGTCCATTAGTTTTAGCATATTACAATCAGGGCACTTGCATCATCGCACAGTGTTTTATGGAACCAAAAAAATTTACATGTTCAGGTTTTTACATAAATAGATTATTTATACCCTAAAAAAGGCATGAGTTCAATTCCCAGAAGTCTAACTCAAATACTTTTTGAGAAAAAAAAATCATGAACTTATCGTGACCTTTGACCTATGAAATCTAGAATATTTTTTTATAAAGTGAATATTAACAATATATTTTTTTAATAAATATGTGTCAATCGGGCATAATCAGAGGCGTATAAATGCGTTTCTTTAGCTTAGAAAAATGCATTGGTTTGGGAGCAGATTTTTTTTTTGTATTTCGTATTTATTGTTTTTTCTCCCTAAAAACGAAAAAGTGGAACCTAGAACTTCGATAGAAATAAACCTACGGATGTGGTCTATCATACATAAATAAGCCACGTGTCACTTTTGCGGCGATTAGAAGATATTCATTTTTAAATTTTTATGCTAGGGTTGACACCGAACCTGACCTCGAACGAAAATTTTTAAAATATAAATTTGTGTATTAGTTTTGAACGAGTTTACAATAATGTAGATTTTAGGAACTTACTACAGTACCTTTAAGATATTTTTATGGGCTCCAAGCTCTATTTGCAAAAAAGGAACGCTTATGGTGATTCCCAGTCACGGCGGAAGTCATTATAATGAATATCGATTTTCGTTTTCGGGTCTGAGTATTAACTATTAATTGTTTGTTTTGTGTGTGTGTTTTGGAGACCCAATTAGACACAAGTTCATGCCTGCTTACCTCTACGTTTTTTTTTGTAACAATAATAGTTACTACTACCTACTAACTGATTTATGCCCAAGATTTGTTTTTATTTTCTGATCGAATGCCTGAATGATTCTGAATGAATTTTGAAATTTTTATCAAGCAACATAGTTCATTTTTTCGTTACCGTTTAGCGTGTAAGGTACAAAGTTAAAATGTGGTCGAACAAACATAAAGTATTCCTACATTATCACATCTACATTAGGTAGGTACCTAGTATATGTAAGTATATTGTATTCGTCCACAAGTGTTGTTAATTTATTCAATTGATTGACGGTATTAATTAACAAACAAAAAATTTAACATTTTCATTTAACTCATAGTTGACCTTTGTGACAATCCTAGATCATGAAAGTTGACCTTTATCTAAATTCTGTCATAACTTCTTAAAACCGCAAAAGTGAAACCTGATTTTTTTATGGGTGATAGAACTTGGCTTATAGAACCTTTCTGTATTAAATCCAGGTTCCACTTTTGCCGATATTTGGAGAAAAAAATTAAAAATCGAAATTTAAAAAAAAAATATTTCTCGGAAACTAGGTCACTTATAAATAAAATAAAATTGCAAAATTATGCCTTCAATAATTCCTTATCAAGTGGCAAATATCTCATGTACAGATATGGAACCGTCTTTTGAGGAAATTAAATTGTTAATTTTTTAATGCTCAAATTTCAAAAACTTTGCTACTTCATATCTTTTTTTTTAATGGAAATAGTGATCTGAGAATTGAACTCTTGCCTTTATTAGGGTATAAATAATTGATTTATGCAAAAATCTTAAGGTGTAAATTTTTTTTGTTTCAATAAAACACTGTGACGATGCATCGTCGCCTTTTGATTTACACAACCACTTTGAAAAAAGGGATCTTGCCCCTATTCGGCACGTCAGGTTTGAAGAAATCTTCGCTTCATCTCGTAAAATCTAACAAATTAGGTAAACAAACGCTTTCGTTCGTAATTCACCGTGAAAAATAAACATTAAGTTGAATCGAATGAATGATTTAATCATGAATGTACTTTTTGCCTGCGATAATGTCTCTTTTATACTTCACAAAAATCTGTATGGGCTATCCTGCTTTAGGCCGTATACATAAAGGAAGCCGATTAAAGCAGATCAAGCAAAATGTCGGACTCATCGGACGATGATTTGGTTTTGTTAGAAAATGTTTATTTAAAAATGCGAAAAACAGCTATACATCCTATAAATAGAGAAAGGAAACGTTTCGGAGAATACCATCATTTATTTGTAAAAAAATTTAAATTTGATGAACAAAGATTTTATACATATACAAGAATGATTCAAGAAACATTTTATTACATTTTGGATTTAGTGAAAAACCGTTTGATGAAAAATTGGTGCAATTGGCATAAACAAACAATCCTTCCAGAAGAAAGACTTGTTGTCACCATTCGGTAAGTACGACACAAATAATTTTAGCGCTTAGTTAATAAAAGATAAAGTTATTAGATTTATAAAAAGATTATAACTTAGATTGATTTAATCTAAGGATAATAATTCAAATACAAATTATTTATTATTCGGACCAGCGCGTGTCGGCGCCGGTCCATAGAAAAAGGATCAGCGCCAATAGGCGCCGATAAGCACCGATCGGCTTTCGGCTTTCTTTCTGTATACGGCCTTAGATATAATGTGAACTTCAAAAGACAATGCAGGGAATTCCCGTGTCCATAGACAAACCAGAATTTGAATTTTTAGAGTGACAATCATATAAAAATTTAAAATCTACTAAATTTACTTGCTCAATTCTGAAATCTACCAAAAAATACTGATTACTTTTTTCCTACTGATATATATGTTTAAGGTCACGCTGCGCTCAGGTCAAACTCCCCCCACCCCGCGACCCCTTCAACCATAAATAATTGGTGGGGCGCATCTTCGAGGATTGCACTATCTATAGTGTTGACTTACCTAGGTAAGGGTACGGCCAGAGTGCACTCAGATTCAGACTCAGAAAACAAGCGCGAGGAATAAACAGTGTAGTTAAAGCAGGGTGGCCATAGTGGCAGCAGACAACCTGCTTAAACTACACTGTATATTTCTCGCGTTTGTTTTCTGAGTCTGAATCTGAATCTGAGTGCACTCTGGCCGTACCCTTACCTCACAGAAACTTATCGAGAAAGCTGACTCGATACGTTTCGTGTCAAGCACTACAATAACTGTAACATGAGCACTACAATTTACATTATATCATGTTTCTATCGCGTCTAACTGTCAAACTCCATAGTAATTTGACAATTGAGCGTGATAAAAACGCGTTTTATATCATATCGCTGTGCTCATGCTAGAGGGGGCAAGAAACATTAGAATGCATCACACCCACATTTTGGCTGTATGGGCATTGTTCCCTTTGCCTTCCCTTAAAACTTTAAAAGGGAGAACGTTAAAAAATATTCACTACAAATTGTAAATAATTTCAAGTTTCCAGATAAATACGCCGCAATGTAGAATTAATATCAACAAATTGCTGCTATACATTTATACAAGGTTACGAACAAAAAGCAAATAGCAGCAATTATTTCGTCATGAAGCATAATGCGTTTTTGTAACGTGTGATCACCGTGGAGGTTTTGTTTGCATAAAACCACGGCATAAAACAAGTTTTGTAAAACTAATAGGCCTAAGGGCTTCAGTGATGGCTACTTTAAGTAATGTAATAGAATATGAGCAAATGCAAAAGATATTATCAGAATTTACGAGGCTAGAAGGTAAGCAAAGCACTATTTTGAATTACAAAAAAAAAACTTTAATTAGCTTGTTTTATAAAAAATATTAAGATTAAATTATCTTTTTATTAGCTTTGTTTTAATTTCATGATCAAGTTTTAAAATACCAGAACTATGAAACAGTTAATTGGTGGTTTTATTGTCATACTTATCAGTTGGTGTAAGTATTTGATACTGCTAATTTTATGTAGTGCAATATGATGGATTTAATAATAGAATATTATTTAAAAATTTATTATAAGTAATTTCTTGATAACAAGCAAATGGAAGTAATTTGTTAAACATGTTAACAAACAGATTTACTTATATTTATTGATTCTTTTTTTTAAAAGCCCTACTAAAATGAAATATTTTTTTCCTTATCTCACATGATTTACTCTATTTTTGGGTAAGTGGTTGCCTTCAGTACTAATAAGTTTGTTTTATTCATTAATGTCTTTGTTTTTAGATCAGTGTTATTTGGATAACGCTGGGTCATCATTATACCCTCAACACTTACTACACTGTGTAACCAAGGATTTGCTTAGTAATGTCTACATGAATCCTCATTCAGATAAATACACTAAAGATTGTGTGGACCAAATCCGAACTTCAATATTGAGGTTCTTCAATACAGACTCATCTGACTACTCAGTAATTTTTACATCCGGAACAACTCAATCTTTGAAGTTACTCGTAGAATCATTTCAGTTCTCTTACGATGAGCAAAATTGTGGGTCATTTGTATATTTAAGGGATAATCACACATCTGTACTTGGTTTGAGAGAACTTGCTGCAGAAAAGGATGTAGATATTATTCATCTCAATCATGATGATTTTCTTAAAGCATTGAATGCACATCATGTCACATCAGTTACAGCCAGGACAAGAAAGAATAAAAATGATGCCAACACATTGCTAGTGTACCCTGCACAGAGTAATTTTAACGGATTTAAGTATCCAATAAACTGTATTGAAAAAATTAAAGAAGGCTGTCTGGACTCTTTTATAAAACAGCACTTATGCAAAATTGATTGTAATTGGTATGTGTTACTAGATGCTGCTTCATATTTGTCAACAAATAAGTTGGATTTATCAAAGTATCAACCTGATTTTGTTGCACTATCCTTTTACAAGATATTTGGGTATCCTACTGGATTAGGTGCTTTATTAGTAAAAAATAGCAGTGCTGATGTTTTGACTGAAAAAAGATATTTTGGCGGTGGTACTGTTGATATTGTATTGAGCAATGAAGATTACCATGTTAAAAGAGAATTATTTCATGAAAGGTAAATATTATTTATTTAATGAAATATGTCAATGTGGAACACCTGATAAAGCGAGCAAGTGGTTAGCATATATTTGCATAATTTGTTTGTTGTTTTAACTTATAAGGTAGTGGTATTAGCAATTGGGTTGAGAATTGAATATAAGTGTTCTACCTTGTTATTTTATATAAAGGGATGGAATAATGTTAGGTTTTTTTATAATGCAAGTTTATATGAAGAAGACTGATATTTTTTTATATATTAGTGTAATATTATTATATATTAAATTATTAAAATGGTATCCATAATATAATCTCTGCTTAGTTTGACACTAAATATTGATGGAAATTGGTTGGAATTTTTTGTTATTGATTTTTTTACTCAAACGATAAACTTCTGTAAAATTTCAGGTTTGAAGATGGGACCCTTCCATTTCTGTCTATAATAGCATTGAAACATTGTTTTGACGTTTTGCATCAACTAATCCCAAAAATGGTTAACAATGATGTAATGGATACAATATCATATCACACATATAACTTAGCCAAGGATTTGTACCTGCAACTAGACAAACTCTACCACAAAAATGGCAATAAAGCTGTTGTGTTTTATACGGATTCAGAATTTAATGACATCAGTAAACAGGGTGCTATTGTGACTTTCAATCTTATTAGAGAAAATGGTTCATACATAGGATACTCTGAGGTGAATATCATATTTACTTAGAATACTTACCAGTTAGATTAAGAATTGACCACTATTGTCATTAATTAATTGATTAGCAAGAACTTAAACTGTGTTTATGGAACATTCAATAATAACAAGAGATGAAACTATTTTTTTTAAGAATATTTTCCTTAAGTAACACTTGTTTATTTTCTAATAAATAATTAGTTTATTTTGTAACAGTTTCAGCATATTTCAGATTTATTTCGAATAAGTGTAAGAACTGGTTGCTTTTGCAATTCTGGTTCATGTCAGAGACATTTGAATACTACAAATAAGGAAATGAAGGATATGTACAAAGCTGGGCATAAATGTGGCGATGAAATAGATTTAGTTAATGGCCGACCAACAGGAGCAATAAGGGTATCATTTGGATACTACAACACTTATAAGGATGTTGATAAATTGATTTTGATGATATCTCAATGTTTTGTTCCAACTAAGCTTAAAAAACAAAACTGTGTAAAACATCAGCTTATACGGTTCAGCAGGAAAAATTGTTTAAAGGAGGAAGAAACACAGCTATTGAATGAACAACAATACTTCAATAAAATCAATTTTATTGAGGAAAATACATTTGATGCTGAAATTAGTCTAGCCGAAATGTCAATATTCCCTATCAAATCGTGTGGTGCATTCAAAATTAAATCATCATGGAAAATTGGACCAAAAGGCTTTGAATACGACAGAGAGTGGATGATAGTCAAAGATAATGGAGTCTGTTTGACCCAAAAGCAAAATACTCAAATGTGCCTTATAAAACCAAAAATCGATCTCAAGCATAGGATATTGTCTCTGAATTGTATAGGTAAGAATGTTAATTGTATTTTTATGTGAATTGAGAGATTTTGACGTCCGAAAATCCTGCGCATTTTGTGGATGTTTACTAGAGGTGTGCAAGGAGACAAGAATTGAAATATTTATATGTATCTTCAGCATGCATAGTGAATTTTATAACTTGCTTACTAAATCGGATTGACCTTAAATCTAAGCACCCATCTGGAGAAGGACCTAAAGGACATTGCTCATTCCCCATACATTGATTGTCCCAGAACGCACAGCAATGAGAAAATGCTAGTTGTGCTTGGAATCATTCATAAACTCTAATTATGCATTTGTTGAGATATGGACAAGTTAAAAACCGTGGCCTATACTACAGAATGTATTAGATTTTGAGGTTGTAATTATTATAAGTACTTAATCGTAAAAGTTGTACACTTTATATATTCTGTATAGATTTAGTGTGTACCTCTATGTAAGCACTAAAATAATATGCATTAAATGAACATAAAATGCAATTAATAATAAAAATAATAAATGCTTACATTCATATTGATCAGCCATCAGTGTTGGCAGTTGGCACCTATTATACCTATACCTACCTGTTGTAATAATAGATTTCTTTTCAACTGAAATATTCAAAGGCTTTTCATTTAACTGTTTCTTTATTTTATTATCGGTAATTAGGTATGTACCTGATTATCATTATGATTTTCATAAAAATAAACAGATAATAAATGGGAAGGGAGTATAAACTATCTTTACATAATTTCAGAAATTATCTTTTTATAAATATAGTATAAATACTAGTGATAAGTATTATTAACTAAGGATTTACTAATATACCTATTTTTATTCTTATTTTGATAAATACCTATGGTCGCCTATATAGCATTTATTAAGGCTATCTATTCAAAATGGAATAGAATTGAATTAAAATAAAACACTTGTATTTGAAATAATTTTGTTAACCCCATTGTCGGAAGCTTTTGAATTTAGATGAGACAGTCTCCTAAGACTCTAAAAATGACATGACAGCAAACTGTTTACAGTCTTTTCATCCTAACTTGTTCTATTTGGTAAACAATCTTGGCACATCGTTTTAACAAAATCACCCATTTAAAAATAAAAAATAACGAAGCCAATAAACTATTAAAATAAATCGTTATTATAGACTGAAACCTATTGAATCCAGTTATCAATTGATTTTTTATGCTGTATTTTCAATAAAAAGGAGTGCCAAGATTGTTTTTTTATAGATAGGTCCGACAAATGACTCCACCCCACCTGATGTTAAGTGAAGGTGAAGTCCAGACGCGAAGATAGCTGAAACAGCAGTTCTACCTGCCACACCAGCCAACCTCACCCTGCCGGCCTGCATGTTGCTTCTTCACGACTCTTTTAAAGGATCCCAGGTTGTAAGAGGGAGGGAACACGTGAGCAGGCAGAGCATTCCATTTACGGATAGTGCGACAAATACGAGTTGGAATTGTGGCCACAGTTAGACGGTGACAACGAAGGCCAGCGCGCGAAGGCAAGGGGAAGGTGCAATAAGAGAGAATAACTCTTCAGAACACTCGCCGTGGTACAGACGATAGAACGCGCTTAGTGACGCCACGTCACGGCGTAATTGAAGAGGCTCGAGGTGTTAAGTTACCTCCTCATCGCCTATGATGTGGATCGAACGCCGCTGTAACCAAATATAACGTAATAATATTGTATAATGTAATGTTTACCAAATAGGACAAGTTAGGATGAACACACTGTAGTATCTAGTAACAGAACTTTTATTTTTTTATACAGATTGTCCGTTTACTATGATTAATTGCTAATAAATTAAAAAAATAATAGTGTAGGTCATTCTTTTGTGTATGCTGAGGCCGATTTCGTCAATGTCCTTTGATCTCGATTCGCGTCAAATGTCAAGAAATGTTGTATGGAGATTTTTAATTCTCAATACGTCCATTGTGACGCTGTTCGAATTTTTATACAAATCTTCTCGACATTTGACGCGTATCGAAATCAAATTCAACTATTTGAACTCGATATTGGTACGTGCATAGGGTACTGTTTTCATTTAGTATAGAAAGCTTATTTAACATTTTGTCCTTTTCAGGAATGCCGTCTTTGTCACTACCATTAGACATGACTGACAGTAAGAAAACAAATACATCTTTTTGTCAGAGCAAAGTTTGTACAGACATAATACAAGGTTACGATTGCGGGGAAGAAGCGGCTGATTGGGTTTCTAATGTTTTGGGGGTGTCATTTTTGAGATTAGTCAGACAATCGAATGAAGTAAATAGATTGCAGAAAAAGAAAAAAGATGACACTGGGTCTAAACTATTGTCACTGAGCAACCAAGCCCAATTCTTATTAGTGAACAAAGCAACTGTGCGTTGGTTGAGTGAGAACATTAAAGACCCCCAGTTTACTGACAATTTACAACAATTGGCTGACAGATTCAGGGGAAATATCGTAATTGATATGGAACAGGAACTAGTTGAGAGAGAATGGCAAAGAGTAATTATAGGAAAACACGAATTTAAGGTAAATATATGAAAATCAATTTTTTAAAGAAAATTTTACTAGAAAAAATTCTACGCGGACCAGGCAGCAGACGGGACTCGAACTTTCGCTATCCAGGTGAATGCACTGACCATTTAAAAAAAATATCGAAGAAAAATCAACCCAAAAAGAAGTTATACTTTTTTAAAGTTATCACATCGTTGAACTTAAAAGATGACGATAACAAAATCTAAAGAAAAGTTTACTAGAAAAAAATCCACGCGGACTAGGCAGCGGACGGGACTCGAACCCGCATCCTTCGCTATCCGGGCGAATGCACTGACCATTATGCTACCACGGCCCTATTAGCCGCGTCGAAATTTTCCTAGCCTTAAGCTGCAAGGCAGCGCCATCTCTTCGCATTGTAGGTAACCCACAATGTCAAATGAATACTTTTTCAAGTATTAAAAACATTTGAAAGAAGAAATAGCAATTATAGTTATGATTTTATTTATTTTTTAAGCACTTAACTGCTAGATGTTTAAATCTAAAGAAAAGTTTACTAGGAAAAAATCCACGCGGACCAGGCAGCGGATGGGACTCGAACCCGCATCCTTCGCTATCCGGGCGATTGCACTGACCATTATGCTACCACGGCCCTATTAGATCTAAACATCTAGCAGTTAAATGCTTAAAAAATAAATAAAATCATAACTATAATTGCTATTTCTTCTTTCAAATGTTTAATACTTGAAAAAGTATTCATTTGACATTGTAGGTTACCTACAATGCGAAGAGATGGCGCTGCCTTGCAGCTTAAGGCTAGGAAAATTTCGACGCGGCTAATAGGGCCGTGGTAGCATAATGGTCAGTGCATTCGCCCGGATAGCGAAGGATGCGGGTTCGAGTCCCGCCCGCTGCCTGGTCCGCGTGGAATTTTTTCTAGTAAACTTTTCTTTAGATTTTAACATCTAGCAGTTAAATGCTTAAAAAATAAATAAAATCATAACTATAATTGCTATTTCTTCTTTCAAATGTTTAATACTTGAAAAAGTATTCATTTGACATTGTGGGTTACCTACAATGCGAAGAGATGGCGCTGCCTTGCAGCTTAAGGCTAGGAAAATTTCGACGCGGCTAATAGGGCCGTGGTAGCATAATGGTCAGTGCATTCGCCCGGATAGCGAAGGATGCGGGTTCGAGTCCCGTCCGCTGCCTGGTCCGCGTGGATTTTTTTCTAGTAAACTTTTCTTTAGATTTAAACATCTAGCAGTTAAATGCTTAAAAAACAAAATCTAACTCGAAAACTACGAAGAATCGTAGAACATACATAGGGGTTAAATTGATAGGTATGGTACTCGGCTATCAGCCTACACTGGCTTGACACCCTAGAAGAAACACCCGGTATATATATATGTATATATACATATATCTATTGTAGACGACATCCCTTTTATATATATAAAAGGGATGTTTCCCTCGCTCACCGGTAGTAGCGCGGCGAGGTTGCTGAAGACTCCTCCCTACTGATTTACCCAGCCGGCGAACTCGATATGAGCTAAGCCCTAACTAGTAAAAACCCAAAACTCCTGCACTGTCAATAGAGATAATAACTAACTTTTTTATTAACGTAGCAGGTATATTATCCACAAATTTTGGACACGTAATTCTTCTTTTTCCATATAATCATAACATAACAGATATAAAAATAAAACAAGTTCCAACGGGTCTATTGATTTTATTTATTTATTGATGTTTCGTACGTTTTGGTAGTTTACGGTAGTTAGGGTCAAATAAATAAACTCAAAATTATAATAAAAAATTAAATAAAGTACTTTATTAATATAAATTTATACATAGATAATAAAGTTTTAAAAATCTACCAATGAATATCTGAACGCTCAATAAAAGTCTTGCGAAGGTAACTTGACAAAGTAAATAAAAAAATCATTATTCCGACGACGCACTCCTGCAAAGGATGAGAAACGTCAATAAAATCAGCGCATCTAAGCCTTTGAAACTTGTTTTATTTAACGAGTGGATGTGCCTGAAAACCTAAGAAACAAATAACAGAGATATATTAATAAACATAAACGATTTGTAATGTCGCGTGACGTCACGAGCCCACTCACAAACTTTGACGCGGTTTATCTTTTGATAATCTAACTTTAGTTAGAGACCTTCAGGACTAAATAGAATTTTATTTACTTTATACCCCGTCATCATTCCTATACTCCTGCACCGGTTACTCGAACCATTCTGAAAATCGCAGTCCCCCTAATGCGTGTCAGAAGTGCGGTTGGTGTCGCGGCACTCGATTTCCAACCGACACTGCGCACCAGCAAGGTGAGTGTCCGTTACCGGCCTCTCCCCCGATGTGCGGTTCTCCGTAGTATCAGGGGCACCACCCATCACACGAACCGTGCAATGCAGACTGGCGCTCCCACAGTTCGCTGGTTCCTCGGAGGAGCGGGAGGGGGAGAGTCGATCTCCCCGTCCCTCTCCACCAGCAAGGTGATTATCCGTTACCGGTCTATCCCCCGATGTGCGGTTCTCATTAGTATCAGGGGCACCACCCATCACACGAACTGTGCCATGCAGACTGGCGCTCCCACAGCTCGCTGGTTTCCCTGGGGAGCGGGAGGGTGAGAGTAGATCTCCCCGTCCCCTCTCCCCTCGCCGTCAGCTTGGGAGCTTTTGAGAGAGATCAATTCTTCTAAGAAAAAGAAGAGCCGTGGTCGGTGAGAGAGGCTGTACCTCAGCCTGCGAGCCCACTAAAACTTGTGTCAATGTGACATAAGCTAATCTATTTTCCAATTATGAAATGAAAGAAATCACGGAAGGATTAAAAGTAAACTTTGCTATTAAGTTCAACAATCAAACACACACACTTTTAAAATTTTTGATATTCACAATTCCAGGTTGAAGGACTGTGCTCAAGGTGCCAAATGATATGCATCGATCAGAATACAGGAGAAAAGACTGTGGAACCTCTACGGACAATATCTGAACAATTCGCTGGGAAATTGAGATTCGGAATTTACCTTTCTTACATTGGCACTGTTGGCGGTTCTGAGGACCGCATGTTGAAACTAAAATCTTCCGTCAAGCCCGTAACTAACGACGATGATATAAGCAGGTGAAAATTTTGAATCTCAAATAATAAAATACCTACATAGTTATTTTACTTACCTAGTTAATTATATCACTTTGAATCTCGAATTTAGACAGCACTTGTTTGAATAAGTGCACAGTCGCAGTCTATGGCCACGGGTGTTCCTGTTAAAGTCATCAGTAGATCACATTTATATGCAAACTTGTGTAATTATTGTTCCTAAGAAAGTTATTGTTGATTTAGTTATTAACTTATTATTATGCACGAATTACTAGTTAAACTGAGCGAAGAGAGCATGAAAAAATGCGGGTAGACATAAAATTATTTTGGTTCAACACCTAATGTTACACTTATTTAAGGTTGTACTTAAATCAGCAGCGGCCGAAGTCCTAGGTCTAGAGTAGAGCAAGATTGTTTTTCAGTGCTCTATCGGCGACGCTTTCATTTCACGCAAATTATCTTCTCCGTATGATAGTTTCTAGAATTTTGGCTTTTTAGCGTCATTCCCTAGGGTCGGTGCTGCTCAAAAAGCTCGTATATAAAAAGAGATGAAATATTAGCTTGGGAATGCATGTGACACATTCTACACATATGATTATTATTAATGAGTTTAAAAAATCTACATTATGTGAAAATAGAAGAATTTTGACTTCATTGATGCATCCAGATAGAACTTACATTTTATGGTGTAATGTTCTGAACGCTGTAAGGGCATCGATGGAAAACATAAAGACGATGTTCATTTAAGTTATTATGTGCTACTTAATGTTAGTTTTGTAAAATGTTGTTCCAAAAACTAACTTCAGTGTGAAAATGTGTGTTGCTTGTAGTACACCTATACCCCCTGCAGCCGCCATCAAAACCAATAGTCCAGTCGGAATAAACATGAGACCTATTCTAAGACACCAGCGCTTAGCCAATTTTTTCCTAGATAGTATAGACCCCCACGAATATGCCCTCCATTTGTCCCCGCTAGAACCCGTGTTTTGTAGCCAGGAAAATTGTTTAAACAAAAAAAAACCGGTTTTTTTGAGTTTTTTTGCTTGTAAACGGGGATTTTGAAATTTTTTTTGAATCAAAGTTGTTCATTAGCTTGCCCTCTACAAAATCAGTTCTATGAAAAAATAACGTGAGATTGTTAGTTTAGCAGTAAATTGCAATTATGTCGGTTTTACGTTTGCAACAATTCAACATGTTATAATAAACATTTTGATTTCTAAAGTAGTTTATCATGTGGGTAACGCCACTCCCAAGAGAGTCATGTAAAATTTATCGACCTGTGTCGCAAACTTTAGCAACAATTCTCAATCTCCGAAAAAAAAGTACTTGCCTGTCCCGTCTTTCCCAGAAGGCGCACAGCGGGGAAAAAAATTCAGGTGATTCGATTCACCAAGAATTTTGAGGAATCGATCGAGTAGAAAAAAATCGTTAATAAAAATGTTCGTTTTTGGACGATTTACATTTTTTTTTAAAAATTGACGTAGAATATATTTTTTTTTAAACTAATGTATTTTTCTCTCCTCAACTCGAATATACGATTGAAAATTTAAAAAATTCAGTTTATTTATTAATTTCGTCCTTTTTTCTTCCGGTTCATAATCGGAATTCTCAGGGTATATTAGTATTATATATATATATTATATATATATATATATATGTATATATATATATTCAGAATAGTATATTCGAGTTGAGGAGAGAAAAATACATTAGTTTAAAAAAAAAATTAAATCGTCCAAAAACGAACATTTTTATTAACGATTTTTTTCTACTCGATCGATTCCTCAAAATTCTTGGTGAATCGAATCACCTGAATTTTTTTTCCCGCTGTGCGCCTTCTGGGAAAGACGGGACAGGCAAGTACTTTTTTTTCGGAGATTGAGAATTGTTGCTAAAGTTTGCGACACAGGTCGATAAATTTTACATGACTCTCTTGGGAGTGGCGTTACCCACACGATAAACTACTTTAGAAATCAAAATGTTTATTATAACATGTTGAATTGTTGCAAACGTAAAACCGACATAATTGCAATTTACTGCTAAACTAACAATCTCACGTTATTTTTTCATAGAACTGATTTTGTAGAGGGCAAGCTAATGAACAACTTTGATTCAAAAAAATTTTCAAAATCCCCGTTTACAAGCAAAAAAACTCAAAAAAAACCGGTTTTTCTTTGTTTAAACAATTTTCCTGGCTACACAACACGGGTTCTAGCGGGGACAAATGGAGGGCATATTCGTGGGGGAAAAAATTGGCTAAGCGCTGGTGTCTTAGAATAGAAGTCGGTCCAAATTATGGCTATTCCGACTGGACTGCAGTGGTTTATAGCCAGCTGTAAATTTATTATCTTTTTAATCAATTATTGATCGATGAATTTTTTCACCATCTTCAAAAGAAATATAATTATTTGCTCGTAACTGTTTTCGAACAAATATTTTTTTTCATTATCCTCAACTGGTTACGAATTATATAGGTTTCGATGGCATGGCGGCCGAAAGGGAATTACACGTAGCGTGATCAAACTCGAATTTATATGTGACTAAAATGTTCCATATTTACATTTGTTTATTTTGCCATTACATAGTCACAATTCCGGTTTCCCCCAACTTAATAAATTGTAAATTATCCAAATATTTTTATACAAACAAAAGGGTTACAAAATCAATCACTTTTATTAACATCTCAATCGCTTTTATTATATCATCTCAATCGCTTTTATTATATCATTGTGTATCATAAAAAACTAAGAGTTCTAAACTGCAGAATGTGTGTCAATACAAGTTCTGAAAATTTTGGACTATTCACAAAATTAGAATTTGTTTCATTGCAATTCATTCGTATTTGATTTTATTAGTACTTATGGTTGTGACTCGTTCATGTTTTGGCAGCTACATTTAAAATATATATTAATTTAAATGTTTATTATAACTTAAAATTTAATTAACAGTCAAAATAATGTGGCAGTTTTAATGGTCAGTTTCAATAATCAACCTCGAGTAAAAGGTAAGGATGATCTGGTTCTGTTGCGTAGCTATAGTTGTAACTATAGTCTTAATGATGAAAATATATTTACAACAAAGCTCTAATAGGCCTACCACTTACAGGAGTTTGCTTATTGAAACTGGCCTTAAGTGTTATATACTTTGAAGCAAAATGTTCTTTATGCAAACAACCCATAGTACCTATTGATTTTTTTAAGATAAAATAGGCCTGACTGACTGGGCAATATTATTTTATTCCTATGGTTGCTTATAGCTACCTATATGATACTATACTTTCTCATTTTAAAAATGTTTGGAGCTCCTATTATAATACTTTTAAATATTTATTTGTAATGGAAGCATATACGTTTGTGTTAAACACAGAATTTTATTATAACAATCATGCCTGTTAATCATGCTTATAAATTTTTATCTAGGCTTCCTTTAACAAATGTTGCTAAAATTCATTCAATTTGCAGGTTCAAGGACTGGTTTTATACATACTTTTTGGATTATTTTCGTTGTTACTCTAAATCTGGTACTAAACATAAGAAGACAAGTTAATCTATTATAACTTATTAGTTTGTTCAATTTTTTAACTTTACATTTTAATTCCAATAGGTTAAATGTTTCTTTAGCAAATGCGTACGTAAGTATGGATTGTGATGATATATTTTTTATATAATATATATTTTATATAATAATGCACTTTCGATGTTCTTTGTGATAGATTATCCTAGGTGAACAATACGTATTACCTATATGATTAGTTATTATCGAGCCGTTACCGCCAAATTATCGTAAGCGACACTTTTGTCGAAATGCGTTTTTTGTGGAAACTAATATTTTTAAACCGTAACGGACCCATCTCTGTTGATATTTCCCTCCAAAATAAAACCGTTATAATATAACGGTGTTCTTTTGGAGGGAAATATCAACAGAGATGGGTCCGTTACGGTTTAAAATTATTAGTTCTCTGTTGATATTTCCCTCCAAAATAAAACCGTTATAATATAACGGTGTTCTTTTGGAGGGAAATATCAACAGAGATGGGTCCGTTACGGTTTAAAATTATTAGTTTACACAAAAAACGCATTTCGACAAAAGTGTCGCTTACGATAATTTGGCGGTAACGGCTCGTTATGTCGTAGAATGATTTAATAAATCGTTTTTTTGCGAAAATGCGGATAATTAGATAATAGGAAATATGCATGATCATTGTTTATATTTTAATTTATAGTTTACATTTTCCTTTATATAGTATAAAATTTTCAGCATCGAACAATGTGTCTTAAATTAATGTTAAAAATATAGCTACTTTGCACGGGCATTATAAACGATTTTTCTGACGGCACAGTTCAAAGCAACAAAACAAACAAGTCCACAGTTAGATTAGGAGGTTAGGTGCAAATGCACAACGTATTCGCACTAGGTCTCGTTGATTTTGACATATTATCTTGTAAACATGACGCTTGTTTGTTGATTTGTTGCTATGTATAGGGATACATAGCAACAAATCGATTGTGACCTAGGGAGGTCACAATCGCTTTGTCGCGTTTCAGATATGTATTTGAATTTCCTAAAAGTTTTTTGCACTTTTCTATAATATTTTTTTTGCTAAAAAAGAAATTTATTAAAAAATAATAATTGTGGGACAACTCAAATGTAATTAAATTGAACCTTATTTGAATTAGGATTTATATGCATTACGATTTATTGCGAAAACGCGAGTCGCTTCAGTAAGATTGTGAAAAGAATCTTTGGCTTATTATAAATATTCTTGAGTTTTTAAGTTCACACTAAGTTGGATTAAGTTAGTGTTGTGACCATGACACGCGAAATAAGCTAGCTGCCGGCGAAGCGCCAAAAAAAATCTTTAACAATAAGATTGAGTAATGCCATTGTCTAATTATCCGCGTTTTCGCAAATTTCCTAGGATTTTCGCAAAAAATCGACTTATCAAATCATCCTACGGCTTAAGCAATAAGCGTTCTCCTTCAGCGCGTTAATAAATGGTTGGTGGCTCACCTAGGACAAAGCCAACAAGATATTCCTTAATCTTAGGTCCTTATTATTAATGTTTGCTCAAGTATTACTTGTAATAATAGCATAGCAGATTTTCCACTCGAATAAGAGCAACCATCTGGGGAAGTAATTTACACCTTATAGAAGAGCGTTGTTAAATTACCCCACATTTTGGTGGTGTTATATTTCTGTCGATATGAAGGTGGATGGGTCAAGGTAGGCAAGGGCGCAAGTGATACTTTGGTATCAAAAGACTAATGATTTGGACGTGACCAAAAGTCGTGGCCGTTTGTTTGTTTTTTTTTTTTTGCTATCCTCGACGTTCGGCACTACATCACGGGCTCAGGTATGGTGGGAGTACTTCACAAGGGGCAAGGTTGCCCCCCATATATTAATCTACCGCACTCGAGTAAATCCAAAAATCCCCGCTTGGGAGCCCAAGATAAGTAACAACGGAGGCTACATAAGATAAGTAACGACATATTATGGTGAAATAGGGCCCAGGTGGGCCATATGCTTGTTACCAAAATAAAAAGCACATTCTTGCCTTATAAGTAAATGTGATATTATTAAGATTGTGTAAGATTTATAGTGAATAGATATTATAATATGTTTAAGAAATATATTTACATGTTTACGATATTTATATCTGTTGATACATAATGACTAGGTTATAATCTAGTGAATATTTTGGGTGATATTGTTATAGCTAAAATATATTATGAAATTGCACAATTTATCGGTTGCTGGCCTTTTATTTGCCTTGGTTCATTTCCTTGCGACACCTCATTTACTACCTGTGCTACTTCTACATAATCTGGAAGTGCCATTGTTTGTAACTTTGAATATACCAATTTGTTATTTACTTCTACTTCAAAAGAGCCTGAAAAATAACAAAATAAAAATATACAATATGATTATTCTAACACAATAACAGCGTGCGCACCGCTAGACGGGATTAAGAGCGGGCGTCCACTCGGCGTGTTTGTTTCATAGACTTACCTCACGCGGCGCGGGCTTCGCCTCGCGGGTGACGGTGCACGCTCGATTGGCTGTCTTCTGTGCTCTTGTCTGCGTTCTCTTTTAACTAGGTAGTATTCTCAGCAACATGAATCTATTATTGACTGTTCACGAATTGAATCGAAATTGTACTGGCGGCGCTTCGAGAGTCAATCGCTACTCGCGGGTCCTGCGACGGGGCACTAAGATGCGAAGCGGAGTCTGGGACCGACATTCACTCCGTGCTCCCGCTTAACGGTGCGCACGCGGTTAAAGTGATTTCGTGAAATTTACTTAAAATTAATTAAATTTAGATATATTTATATCTTCGAAACACAGTTTCCCAAGAATGTAATGTTCATCAAGACAGCAAACTGATGGTTGAACTCCAGATTTTTCTTTACGAAATTAGTGTTATCTGTCTCCAGTAGTTATACTAGTATTACTAATAGAAAATTCATTCCCAATAGATTACCACAAAGCCAAATTGGAATGTGAAAAAAAGCAACTTTCATATTGGAAGGTTATATGATGGGTGGTCAAAAATTTGAGCTCCTCTGTG